CTGTAGTTCGAACCCAGTGACCTGAAGACAGGAGTTCCTCCCTGGGCGCCTGCAGTGGCCTCCACTACTTATAGTTATCTCCTTGCTTTGTCACTGGTTGTCTCCTCACTCTCTAAATCAAAGATGATACAAGGCCAGAGAGTGCTTTAATATCAGATGTTTCCCTTCTGGAATACTTGTGCTAGCAGTAAGGGCTTCAGCAGGTTGGGATGACTGCTCAAAAGTGAACTTCAAATGCATGATTGCAAGGGTATGAATAGCCCTGTCTGATGGCAAGCAAAAAGGGTAGAAACCCTGGAGAGGAGCTAGAATATCCCCCAACCCCAGCCAAAAAACAAAAGCTTGCTATATCCCTTCTCCCTCAAGGCCCCTATTAGAACACATACACTGTGGACTGCTAGGCAACACTAACTGGGGCTTAGACAGTTTCACAACTTACCTGGGATCTCCAAACTGATGATTCTGAAGTCTGAGCACTCTCCACCCCCAAATCAGAGACGAGGGGTTGAGGGAGGGGTTTCAGAGCAGCAGGCATAGGGTCAGATGGAGAAGCCAGGGCATACAGAATGGATGCTGGGCCTGTCAAGCTTCCCTGGGAAGAATTAACTGACAAGCCCTTGGGAGTGTGGGAGAGGGAAGGCAGAAGGGGTCCTCTTAACCTAAGGAGACTCCAGGAGCAGGGAAGAGGATGTTAGAGGTTCTGGGGTAGACAAGGGTGTTAGGAAAGACTCAAATCTGGGCCTCTGCTAAAGGATCTTTTTGGAAATTACAGTGGAGGCCCCTAAAAGCTGCAAGGAGGTAGGAAGACAGTTGCCAGGCCCAAAGGCAACTGCACAGGGAGTGGGGAATTCTAGAGTCAGAGAGGTTGCAGGAAGATGTTAGGGTCTAGGGTGTCGGATATTCTCCATCAGAAGGATGCAGGGGCCCCAAGGGTCTGGCAGGCAGAGATATGTCCCTGACGCTGATGGGATGCTGAGCGACCAGGAAAGGTCTGAGGACAGACCCTTTGGAGGGGTGGGGGGTGGATTTCTGATGTAGCACAAAGGCCCTGTGTCACTCTTTGACATGATATGGTAGGGACCATGGCTGCTCTGAAGGGGAGGAAAGGTGGAAACTGAGCCCAGACACTTCAGGCCTTAAAAAGGTTAGTAAGTAAATACTGGCTAAGTCCCCAGTCCCCAAGAGAGGTTGGGTTTCTCTGACCAATTACATGGACGCTGGGGAGAGTAGACACTGAGAAAGGGTTTCTACTCTGATGGAGGACCAGTGGGTCTGCTGGGGGAAGAGACATCTGACAATGATACTGGAGTCCTGCATCAAAACGGTTCCTCCCTGACCTCTGACAGGGGAGATGCTGAAGCCTGTAAAAAGCTGTCTCTGGAAAGAATGCTGGGAACATGAAAAAGGGGTAAATTCTCTAGGAGTAGATAAAGTCTTCAAGCAAATTCTAGGACTTGAAGGAATCTCTCAAGGCAGATGTCAGGAGGGCATCTGTAATGAAGACACGTTAGGACTAGGGTGGGGTCAGGAGACCTGAAATGTGTGGAAGGGGTTTCTGACAGGAGGGCCAGGTCCAGATGGCCTTGCACAGGGTCTACCCCTTGGAAGCACTGAGGGCAGACAGCATGTGGCAGTTGAAAGAAAGAGCCAGAGATTGGAGAGAGTTCCGATCGGAGACACAAGGTTCGGGATGGAGTTGGGTCCCCAAATAAGGATGTGAAGTCTCGGTCACTGAAAGCAGCTCCTGGGGGTCTGACCCCAAGGTCAGATTTCGGAGCCCAAGGAAGTGGAGTGGTCCCAGATGGAAAATGCCTGCCCCGCCCCAGTTTCTATTCCCCCTCCTTCCCCTGCTGGTTCCTGGAGTCACCGCCGCTCGCGCCCCACATCAGCGCGGGCCAAGTTCTTCCAATGCCTCCTGAAATCCCTGCCCCGGGAAGCTGGGCTGATTAAGGCCATTTATTACCAATGCCGGTTCCCCGGGTCGCGCCGCCGCCAACTCCTCAAGGAGCCGAAGCCAAGCCCGGCCGCCACCCTCCTCCTTTTCCTCTTCCTGCCTGCCGCCTGGGCCGCCTGGGATTACCTTGGGCCCCACCCCCAGGAACCCGGATGCAGGCGGGCCGCGCCCACTAATGAATCATGTATGACTTCCCCTGCCTATGTGCGACCCATTCAGTTGGAAAGAAAACGGCTCCACCTGGTGGCTACTGTTGCAGTGATAGGAAAACAGTGAAACAGCAGAGGCCACCACATTATGTGAATCATGAATAAATTGTTGCAGCTAGGCTGTCAAGGAAACCAAGAAAGGACCATCAAGGCCTTGCTTCCTGATCATGAATTATGCATGAAGCCGAAATGGTTGGTTGATTAACACCCAGCGACCAGAAAGCAGATGTTAAAACATGGAAGCCACACCCTACTTCTCATGAATAATGAATGAATTTGCAGCCCGGAAGCCGAGGAGACTGAGGCCACACTGTATTCATGAATAATGCATGACCCCCAGTGGGCAGGAACAAAAGGGGCAGGACCGCCTATAGCCGCAGCTAATACCTTCTGTGAGCAGGGGAAGTGAGGCTGCATCAGGAAAAACACACTTTCCCGGCTCCTGAATAATAAAGAAGTGCCACAGCTCAACCTGGAAATTCAAGTAAAAAAAGGTCCCAGCCAGTTCACGAGACTGGATGGACAGAAACACCGGACAGTTCTGACCAGCACACAGGGATTATACTACAGTCCAGGCAACAGGGACACGCCTTCCTATTCATGTGTAATAAAGGATGACGCTGCAGAGAAGAGCAGCCGGGGAAACCCAGGGGAAGTGCAGGCTCCTCCTCCCCCCTCAGTCACCCCCCCCCAACAACCCCACGAACTGCTGAAGAACCAAGACTGCCTTGGTCCAACCAAATTCAGATTCGTTATGTGTCTCCTATAGGTGCCTGTTTCCATAGGCATCTGTAAAATAAGGATAGTAATAGAACACATCCAATTTCACAGAAGTGAAAATCAAGAGACTACAAATCATGGAATGAACCTTAGAATAGTACTGACACAAGGCAGTTAAATTTAAAAAATATATTACATATTAATACAAAAATATTTACATTAATATAAAATTAGTTATGGGCAATGGTATACTCACAGTCGCCAGAGAAATCCCAACTTGGGCCACTGTTTCTCATCCATAAAATGGGATGAATAGTAGAGACTTACCTTGATTTTTGGTTTTTAGTCTTTGTTATGGGGTGCTTGCACTCGCCAGAGAGTCGGAGACAAAGTGAGAAATCAGCCCCCCCCACAGGGGATGTCCATGCCAAAATCCCTTCTCTACTAGAAATTTTGAGCATGTACACAGCATGCCAGATGTGATTTTCAAGCCACCATCCGGGACTCAAATTGCGCAGTGGGCCATATGGGATCCAGCCGCCTTAACCTCCATGCCACCTGCTGGCCCAACTTACCTTGTAATACGGTGTAAATGAATAAATATGTAGAAAGGACTTAGAATGGTACATGGCAGGTAGTACCTTATGACTTGTGAGTAGCAGTTGTACTAAAATGGGGGGGGGGAGGGAGAGGGAGACAGCATTATGGCATTTGGTTATGGCTAAACTCTGGGACTACACTGGGTGGGCTTGAATCCAGGTTCAGCTATTCACTGACTCTGTGACCTTAGGCAAATTATTCCTGTGTCCCAGTTTCCTCATCTATAAAGTGGGATAATAATAACCTACTTCCTAGAATTGTTGTGAAGATTAAATGAGCTAATAAAGTAGCTAAATGAGCGTAAGCAAATCTTATCCTCACACTCATCTTTCAGGCTCACAGAAAGATCTGGCAAAGATCACACAGTCGGCAAGAGATTTGAACTCAGAGCCCGGCCAATAATCTGGGATTATTGTCATAAGGAATGAGCAATGCAGGAGGCTTCATCCCTTTGCCAGAGGTTTAAACCCTGGAACTATAAGTGAAAGCTAACCGCGGATCATGTCGACAAAGCAGGAAAAGTCATGCTCATGAATTATACACAGCGCCCCTAGAAAAGCCACAGAAAACTCGGGACGCTACTCACCTTTGCGAATAATCAGTGAATACTACTTTGCGCGGCAGATCTCTGAACACCCTTTCAGCAACGCCCCTTTAGCACGCTGGCCCGCCCCTTCGTGAATAATTCACAAACTGATACCTCTGGCGGACCAGGTGCGAAAGAGGCAAAAATCTTTCTACCACAGCACGGCGTCCCTTCCCCAGCCTGAGCTGCGGCGGGGGCTCCTCTCCCTAAAAACGTGTAGGCTCCCACATGACCACTCTCGCCGTCCCAACCGGCCAAGTGCAGGGGGACTGTATCATAGAACAAGAGGTCACAAAGGCCACTAATAACCTCCTCAATGCCACGCTGGTTCCGAACGTTGCCGATGTCACCAGGACCCGTCCTGAAACAAGCCCTCCCCGAATTCCGCCTTAACTCTAGTAGCCTCAAGCTTCGCCTCCTCTTTGGGGGACACCCCAAATCCTGCCTCACGAACAGAGTACTCATTCGCAGACCCCAAGAGTTTCCCCAAACATTCCCCTAAACCTTGTCTCCGAGGGGTACTCCCCAAAACAGACTACCAAGTCCCACCCAGAGTCCCCAAACGCCACTTCCTAAGGGTCTCCTCAAAAGCAGACAGTCCCTAAATGCCAACCCAGGCCCGTAGCCTCCAAATACGCCAATCAGAGGACCCCCAAAATTGGGAGTAGGGGAGTTTCCTCCTCCAAACTCTGTCCAGGGGCTTGGGGGTACGGTGCTCCAGCTCACCCCCAGTGCTGGGCGGAAGCCTCGCCTTTCTGCTGGAAATGAGCCGAAGCCACGGGGCAACGGAAGAACAAACCACCTCCGTCGTGCAAGAGAAACCAGAGTTTGCGCGGAGCTCGGAAGCGCGGGGCCTTCGAGGTCCCCGGTCTGGAACGTACCATGAGTCTTCTGCTTGAGGGGCTCCTGTCCATGCTCCCGCGCCGCCGGCGCCCTTTTCAGACCCAGATATCCCTACAAGCTGTGGTACGTCCCAAACGCGCGAGGCATGCTGGGGGTGGTAGTCCTATCAGGCTAGTACCTGGTGCACGTGGTGGGGGCATCAGTGCCCAGATTATGGGAAAATGTAAGCTCTGGCTGTGGGTTTCCCGGAGCCGTGCTCTGTGGGGGTGGGAAAGAGAAATGGAGCGTGGTGACGCCTCCGGATAGAAAGGCATACCCATCCTACCGACGGAGAGACTGAGGCTCAGGCAGCCGCAGGAGTTGTTCATTTGAAACTTACGGAGCTCAAGCTGTGAGTCAGGGACTGGGGGTTCTTGTCCTCGTGGAGCTGGCATTCTAGCAAGAGAGACAGGCCATAAAAAGAAAAAATTAGAGTTTCACATGTAAGTACGTATTATAATAGATATTTGTGACTACAGTCAGCCCTCTTTAGGAATGGGTTTTGAGTCCATGGATTCAACCAACAGACCATCCAAAATATTCTAAAAGATTATTTTGATCTGTACTGAAACTACAGTTTTTTGTTCTTGTTATTATTCCCTAAGTGGTACAGTATAGCAACTAAATATTTACATTGTATTAGATATTGTAAGTAACCTAGAGGATGTGCATAGGCTACATGCAAATACTGCATCACTTTATCGTATTTTTTGTTTTTGCTCACCCCCTTCTCCCCCACTCTCCTCTCAAGATTTTGGGCATGCACCCACACACACCCATTGTGATTTTCAAGCTGCGGGTTTGAGACTTGAACTGTGATTGGCCATGAGGGATCCAGTGCCTTAACCTCCATGTCACTTGCTGACCCACTACATTTGATATAAGGAAGGGCCTTGGGCATTGCAGATTTTATCAGTATTCATGGGGATCCTAGAACCAATCCTCCCTGTACCAAGGGATGACTTCACATAATACCAATTATATATAATGTACATATAAGGACCACAAAGTTTATATAACATCATAGTGTCAATATGTAGATAATTTATGTTTGAATATAATAAATATGAAGGTATTAGCCAGCAGATCGCAAAGCGGTTGCGTCGCTGGACTCCCACATGGCCGACCGCAGTTAAGAGTCCTGGACCCCGTGGCTTGAAAATCATGCTGGGTGTGTGTGTGCCCAAGATCCCAGGGGAAGAACAGAGAAGAGATTGTGGCATGGCCATCTCCCCTGGGGAATGATTTCTCACTTTCCCTCTCACTATCTCTCTCCCTCCCAGCGAGTACACAGACCCTAAGGCAAAAACCTCTTAAAAAAATAAATAAGTAAATATAAGGGCATTTTAAAAAGTGGATGGAAAATGGAATTAAAGTAAGAGTTTAGGGGCCAGGAGGTGGCTTAGTGGTCAAGATGCTGGACCTGGTGGCTTACTTTCTCACTTTTCCTCTCTTTGGTCAAATTATAATAAATAAATAAATAATGATTAAGATAATTCTTTAAAAAAAGTTTGAGTTTATTCTAGTGTAAAAAATTTTGAAATCCACATGTAGTTTTTTCATAATATGCATTTTCCATTAATTTTTTTCTTACAGTAAATTTAAATATGTAAATATATAACTAAATATATAAGTAAATATGTATTGTATATTTATGATAACTAGAGAAAATAAAGCAAGTCCAGGGGAAGTTTGTGGGGGACAGCTTACAATTTTATTTTTAAAGTTTATTATTTTTTAAACTTTTTTTTTCTTTTAGGAATTATTTAACTTTATTTATTTTAATTTGACCAGAGAGGGGAAGTGAGAAAGCAAGCCGCCAGGTCTGGGC